ACTAAATATGATTGAGACTTGCTCTATCTGATACCCAATGACTGACAAAGATACAGTTTCCAAACAAATTGTTTAAAAAATGTCAAGATGATGGACAATGTCCAAAATAATAGTCATATTTAATTAATACATATATGAAGTAAAGTAATCAACGGCACACTGGGTTCCTGGTAAAATGGAGTCTACCATAGTTGACCATGGACTTCCTAGCCATGTCTGGCCTCCATTGGCTACTGCTAGTCAGCACTCACTTCTGCCTCAAAAATGGACATTCACAGGGTCCAACTTATATAGCCTCTGCACAGACCACACAGAAAACACATTTTCTTATATAGTATGCACTAAAATATACAGTACTGAAATGAAAAGATGAACAATATTACCGTGTTGTCATCTGTGAGCTTATTTCTCCTGAAAGAAACTAACACACACACTATTAGCATATTGATTTACCACAATATGCGTAATGTAAGTTTTCAAAATGTGCACCGCCTCGCTGTAGACAGTGTTCATATCGTTCATGCAGATTCTCAATCATATTCCCAGAACATAGGTTGCTGCAGACTCCTGCAAAAGGAGACGAATTTCTCACATAAGGCAGGTACAGTTCTTGGTGGAACTTCGCAGTTGAACACACTCTCCTTTAACATTCCCCACAAGTAGGCATCAGGTGGTGTAAGATCGGGGGTAGAGTTCTTGGCAGATCTTCACAGTTGAACACACTCTCCCTTTAACATTCCCCACAAGTAGGCATCACGTGGTGTAAGATCAGGAGAATGGGACGGGTATGGGAAGTGAGTACCACATGAAATGATTCGTCCTGAAAAGTTTTCCTGCAGCATGGCTAGAGATTCTCGAGTGGTATGGCTGGTCGCCCCAACCTGTTGATACCACTGTCTATTCATGTGAAGGCCCCTTGCACGACAGAACATTCTCAAATCCTGAAGAAATGGTCCGATCACCATGTCTCTGTAACATTCTTGGGTGACGGTAAGAGCATTGCCTTCCTCATTCTCTTTTGTCGAAACAGTTACTGGTCGACCAGACTTCCCCTTCCAATGACACAGTACTCTACCAGAATGGCAAAATTTCATAACAATAAACAGCATAACTGTGTTACCTGGTGCCATATTATTAAATCTCTCTTGGAATTGTTCTGTCACCTTTTTCAAACTCAGTCCCCCTTCACGACCACTTCTGTATGAGCGGAAATAATACTCAACTATGAATACTTTTTCCTCCGTCAAGAGACCCATTTCCAAAAACAACTGCACAACACAACTTCCTTTTCACTACTGGGAACACGTGCAGCTGGAGCTATGCCCCATCGACAAATGCACAGCGTGTTCGAGATGTGCAAGTTTCAGCACTGAATATTTTGGTGCATACTGTACTTGCCATTTTGTAGCATGACATATCCACTGTGGCAGACCGCATAGAAAACAGTACTTCCAACAGTTCTGTTGTTGTGTACTTAAGCAAGGCTGCAGTCACATGATGTTTACCAAGCCACTGCCTAGTAACAGGCATTGCTTCTGATTCTGCTAGTCTAGCTTTGAGCCCTCATGCCATAACATTTTATTTTCAGACACATTTGTACAATGATTTACACCATCATTTGAATGTTTTTAGTTAAAGTTAAATACTGCTGATGTACAGTGGTAAACTGTGAAGTCAAATCAACAGTGATGTGCCCAGGTTGTCCTAGAGCAGGTAGAGACAGGAAATAAAAAATAAAAAAATTTTCTAAGCCCTGTCTCAATTGATTTGTACATCATAGTGGTACATCATATATGGTCAGTGGACACATAATCCACCAAAGGCCTGACAGTCTCAAGGTCTCATTGAAATGTTCTGATTTTGATCCTGGACCAGATCTATGTGAAGGTTTTTCTGCTCACAGACTGAAGCTACCTCTGCCAAAGATATAAGATTTTGGGACAGTGAAGAATAGTAAGTATTCCCTCCACCTCTGATTTAGAGCCCATGTTAACCTGTAGGACCCGATGTTGACCTTCACTCTCATAATTATCTCATCAAAAATAACATAATCTGCCCTATGGGTGCTCACAGCTCAGAAATTTATTTCATGCCCTTGCCTAGGTGGCAGAAACCAGGAACACTGAACAGATCATACTTGAAGCCATTAGAAACCAACCATAATCCACTTTCATTTGAATTTTACAGGAATCAATTTTGTAAAATTTTCAATACATAAAAAAAAGGTAGATAGGTAAAGCTCTGAACAAACAAATCGTTTATCTCTGTCCTGGTTTCGAAACTATTTATATTTATATATGACTGTTTATGACCTGGTCAGCCAAATATAGCCCCACTTTGTTCTGAGAACTGGAGAGGAAATATTCATCGGTGCTTGCAGAGCTTTCAAGGAAGTGTGACGTATTCAGGGATTGGTTTTCAGTGGTGAATTATCAGTTAGGAAGTCAATGTTGGATTGTGTAATATTTCTTTTTCACTTAAAAAGTTAGTGTCTGACTGTCATATATTTCTTTTTATACTATTTTGTCTCGGAAGAGGTATAAACCCACTGAGCCAGTATTACATTGTGAGTAAAAGGCATCTTCGTCACTGTGACTTTCCGTATCAGTGTCAGACTGGCGCCTTTTCGACTATTACAATTATTATTTTTTATTGCTAGTGGTGTGGGACTAAATCCCTTGTACTGCTGCCACTTCTGGCCTATTGTACCATACTATTACAGTTATTTTGCATCACTATTTTGCGAGTCTTTATCAATCAACATAATTTATTCGATTTTGCTGGAAACCCCCCTCCCCCAAGATGGAACCTCAAAAACGTGCCCGATATTCCAAAATTCTCGATGCAGAAGAACTGGAGGAAATATTGGTGGAAGAGGAATCTGATGAAGAGTTAGAAGATATCAATGAGTTCATTGAACCTCGAGCAAATATGTCGTCGTCATCATCATCATCATCATCATCATCAGACAAGGCAGAGGAAACAGAAATTAGGTTTCGTAATAGACGACCCAGGGATTTGCCAAAGGTACTAGACTTCACTGGTCCTCCAAGTGGAATCAACAGATCAGCTGCTCCCCATATAAATGCACAGTCCTCTCCTTTTTCCATTTTCATTCTGTTTTTCCAACAAATATTCCAAATTTTTTTACAAGAAACCAACAGATATTTCCACCAATTTATGGCATGCCAAGATGCTCCAGGCCCTTCTGTTCAACCGCCTGACGTCACAATTGAAGAGCTATATAACTTTTTGGCAATAATTATTCAAATGGGCCACGATCAACAGGACACCCTCAAAGATTATTGGTCAAGAGATGAGCAATACTACACTCCATTCTAC